CTCACAGCTTTGCTTGGCAATTCGAGACCCAAGGCAAGGTACAGCCCAACAATGATCCATTCCATGATAACTTGCCTACAAACATTAGCAAATGAGGCAGACTTAACAAAGATCGTAATACTCACATGCACAATTGCAGAGTAACGTTACCACTGATGACGTTGAAGCGCATGCTCTTCCAACCATCGGAACCTTCGTTGGCACGCCACCGCTCAAACGCGAAGCACATCATGTAGACGACATCGACGACGAAGAACGGCAGACTCATAACGACCGTCGTCAGAATCCGCACCTCGTCCCTGTCGGCAAGGTAGAGACGCGCTGAGATGACCGTGGTAGACCAGATGAGGACGAGGAAACATGCCAAGTAGAGCGAAACACCGGCTTTAGTGGCTTCCGTCGCTGCAAAAGTGGGTCCGTCTCGAGAATCCGGATCGATGCCGCCAGCCACGATAAGAATGAAGGAGATGATGAGCGGGATGTGGACCATGAGCAGGATCCATTGCATGCGTCGGCCCTTGGGGCGCGTGGTCGTGTTGAGCAAGCTACTGGTGGCCATAAACAACGGCGTGAGCCCCATGGTGGTGAGGATGGCAACACCGCTTTCCAGGGTGGTGTTCGGCGCTGAAAATTTCGGAAACTTGGTCGTGGCTGCCAAATCGAGCGACACCTGCGTGAGGCGACATATGGACAGCAGGGTGAGCCAGATCCATGGCGAGCTGTGGCCCAGGCCCTGGCGGATGATGAGCCAGATGGAGACGAGGAGGTAGAGGAAGAAGATGACAAGTGTCGCTATGTTGACAGTAGCCGGGTAGGTAACGATACCCACCTCATTTTGCGAGGACACCATTGAATGCGAGACATTGGGGTTCTGGACGATGGAGGTTTGGAGGCAAAGGGGACGCGGGTCTGGAGAGGTTGGCACCAGCTCCAAGAGGCTTCATCGCTAATTCCGCTGTCCGAGCGCTCCGCCTCAACGCCAAGCGCGCTATCACGTGTTGGCGTGCAAGCGGATTCCAGACCTCGAGCCTGTCATGACGTTGTGACGTGCATTGTCGCACACAATAATTCATTCCGATATCGAGCATCGCTCTCCCACAACGTTACGCATCTTCATCGCTCTCCATCGCTTCTCAACGATTCACACGATATACACACCCGCACATCCGGACATTGGCATCGTCCGATCGCATCGGCATCGCGCGGAATTGCACTCGGTGATCACGCTGCAGGTTGCCACCTAGCGGGCAGTGCCCCCGTAAATCGTCATCGCACTAAGAACGGACCACCGCGCTGCGCCTGTTCGACGTCAGTAATTTCGCGTCACGATCTCCATGTTTCAACGCGTGTGGTGTTGCGATGAGGATGTGCGATGTTGCGCGTCGGGTGGGCAGCAAAGGATGGATTGTCAAATGTGTAATTCTATGAAAAGTATGTATGCAACTGAAATGCAGGAAACCATCGTAATAAAACAGTACTCTCGCGCAACCTTCCGTACGCGTGTATCTATCTCTCCAGCTCAGCCAGTCTTATCGACCGCGTCTTTTTTGTCCACTTTCTTCGCTCTCGAGGGTCGCGGTAGTCGAAGCCAGATACCGCATCGCTACTCAGCTCCAATGGCTCGCGGTGTGATGTGGTATTTCAAGATCACTCAGCAAACGTAGTCCACTACCGCCCGTATCCCATATCGAGCAAAGCTGGATCGATATTGGGGTCGGACGCCAAAGTCTCTTCAAGCCCGGACTCATTGTGCCTGCCCAACACATCGACACCGCTGTCTCCCCTCTCCATTGCCATGTCATCCCGGCGCCGTTTCTCCGCTGCTCGATGCGCGGCAGCAAGTGTCTCCTCCGCGTTCCTGGCCTCACAGTATTGCGCGTGCATCTGCGCGTTGTGACTACCAGGGCCACCCATCTCATCCTGCTGTGGATCAGCGTATGGCACCTGTTGCCAACCCACCGCCAGCTGCTGCCCATGCATCTGCGCCTGCTGGCTGGCCCAGTAGGCGGCTTCGTCCTGACGCTGCCACTTGTGGCGCAACTCCTCGAAGATAGGACCCCACGGAGGAGGCGGGAAGCGCGAGAGGAAATACACAAGATCGGTCCTCGAATCGTATCCTGGCTGCAATTCTCTTGCTCTCGTGACAGGTACCCACAGAAGGGGAAATGGCCGTGGTACCTGAATGCCCTCGACCTTGTCAGGGAGCAGCCCCTGTTTGTTCAGACGCTCGCTGAACTCGTTCTGCTGCTCCACCGTAAAGCCGGTGTGGTTGTCTGGGTAACATGGCGGCCCCATAGGCGGTGTTGGGGTGGGCATTACACCCATGTTGGCGCTGGGAGTAGACATTACCGCCATGTTGTCGCCGAAGTTTGACATCTTGAACCGGGGAGACGATAAGACTGGGATGCAGTCTAGATTGTTGAGGTGTCGGTGGGGTGGGGAGGCTACAAGACTGGGTTTCAGTCAAGATGCCTGGGGTGTTGGTAAGGTGTGGAGGCTACAAGGCTGGCTTCCAGTCGGGATAGTTGGGGTGTCGGTGGGGTGTGGAGGCCACAAGACTGGGTTTCAGTTGGGATGATTGGGGTGTTGGCGGAGTGTGGAGGCTACAAGGTGGGTCAGAAAGGTGTTGTGTCAACGTTGTAATAGAGGTAGGCGTCTTACTGCAGCTTTGGTTGTCACTAACAGATTTGTGGTCTTATAAAGTCACTAGAGTCGTATGAGTAGTCGCGGTCGATGAAGTCGATGAGAGCAGAAGAAAGTGCGTTCAGCTCACTTATATACTGTTACCTCGCACTTTCCTGCTCATTTCGAAAAGCCCATGATCCGCCCTCAACTCTGGTTGAGAATTAAAATCTGTCTGACTCTTTTCTTGAGGACACTCCAACACGTGCTTTTGGAGCGAATTCCCGCGTAGTCATCGCAATACCTCTCTTGCCGTTTGTCCGCCAGACCCACTTCAAGAGCAAGACACAGAGTTTAATAAAGGCGAAATACCAAACCCCCCACACGAGCATAGTCATCGCCGCATATAGCTCGTCTCAGGCAGCGACCAAATAAAAAGCTCCAGTCCTTCTGATATTGTGCGTCAAAGCGCAGAGTCTACCTTGGTTGCGGTCGCGTGACTACTTTTCTCCTTACCAATCGCACCTACCCGATTCTGATCACTAGCGGACCGGCCCGCCCGCCAGTCACGCAGCGGACATTTACTCCGGCCTAAATTTGACGACAGCGCTGCCCGTGGACTTGGGTCGGAAGAGGATGCATCGGATAATGCATCGGTTGGATAAGGCGACGGTGAGCCGATACCTAGGTATGCGCTTCGGAAGACTGCGCAGCGAGCCTAGCTTCACATGGCCACCAGCCCATTAACCATCTTTCAACAATTCCCGTCCATCCAACTCGTAACACTCGACTGCGCCATGTAACTCAGCCCTATTAGCATGCGTCTCCATCTCATGCCTGGCAACTGCGACATGTAATTCTATCCTATTGCCATTCGTTGCCATCTCATGTCTCTCAACTGAGACATGTAGCTCAGCCCTATTGCCATCCGTCTCCATTTCGTGCCTTGATGTATCAAATCCGTCAAGCTCACGTTCGAGGCCCTTCTCTCCGTCCTTATTTGGCCGTGTTTGGCTGCGCGTGATCTCCTTCACTTTCGTGACGTTCCTCCGTTTGGAAACCAGGCGCACGCTCGCGCAAAAGATGACCAAAAACAGCGCGCCGCAGGGTATGCCTGCTGCCAAAGCGATTTTGGCGCTGGGAGACAGACGCCGGGCGGATGTATGTGTTTGTGGCGGCAATGCGGAAGAAGTCGGCGTAATCTTTGTCTCACTGGTGCTTGCAAGAGCAGAATTATGCGCTCTACTCTGACTGCCTGCCTCGGCAGTGGCTTCAGAAGCCTCGCCCCCAGTACGCAAAGATACCGCCGCGTTCATCGAATCTGAAGACGCAGGCGTAGGTTGTAGCGACGTAGTTGTAGTCATAGTCTCCTCGGCCGTCCACCCAGCATCGTGCCCGCTCGTACTCGTCGTCTCCAACATCGTGGTTTCCCCAGCTGATGCCGTGGACAAAACGGAAATATCCTCACTCGAAAAACCACCACCACGGCCATTACGACCCCTCACACTCCCACTCCCACACACCCCCTCCACATAATCCTCCGCGTCCTCAAAGTCTTTAGCCTCACACCCCTCATCAAGCACATCCCTGCCCACTTCCTCATCGCCGCATTTGCCTAGGCCAGCAACGGGCCGATTCCGACGGTAGCAGGTACACGCGGGGTTCATGGGTGCATAGAGGTCGCAGAATTCGTTGTTGGACCCGTGGAAGGTGATGGTTTCTATGACGCATTTTTCCTGCGATGGGGGTAAGTGAGTGAGGGCGCGGTCGGGGGTTGCTGGGGAAAGAAGGAAGGCTTACAGCGCATAAAGATAGGTCGGATAACAGGATTGCGGAGGCTTGTCGTTGCCGTGAGGAGATTACGAGGAGGAAAATGAGAGAGACAAGCATTATGGAGTGACGTCGCTGTCGAGTGTCTCGAAGGAATAGAAAGGTAGCTTATTGTGAGTGTAATACATCATGGGTATGCTGTATCTCCGAAAATCACGATGGGGAGGCCGGTAACGCGCAGTGTGGCGCCTCTCAGGTTGCCTTTAGTGTCCGCATCCGGATGAAAGAAAGGCCACAACACCTTCATTGACAACACACGAATGTCGAGATGAACAGCAAGGCTCACCCTTCCTCTTGGCTTCCTCACCGAACAGTCATGATCATATACATTTTATTCATTCCTCGTTATCAACTACTACTCAAGCAATCCCATCCATCGATCCTGTTCGTCCCCTGGTAAGACATGCTTCGTATGCCATGTGCAATCTCAATGACGTATCCAGTACGATACCAATAGCCTTCTCTGTCCAAGCCATGTTATCCTCCAATATCCACTTCCTCAATCAATCTCTTCTTATCCAGTTTACCTGCGAAAGACCACCAATCGCTCAATGGTCGGGGGCACATGCATTACATGGCTCGCCACCAGCACGCTCTGTCGCAACAGCGATGTTGACCAGACCGCAAGATTCCTTTCCGATAGTGTAGTCTGAGTAATCAACGGCTGCCGGCTCGTAGGTCTGGCGTTGGTCAGGTCGGCCCTGTGGTGCGGTGGGGTTGGGGAACGGTGCGGTAGCATCGATGGGGACACCGGCAGCGTTGCCGCGACCGCCGTACAGGCCATTGCCACGGTTGTTGCGGTGACCATGGCGGGGTACTGTGTAGTACGTGGGAGGATGCGCGTTGCGAGGGCCAGATGGGAAACCAGCCCAGGGTTGTGGGTTAACGCCAAAGTGACGGGGAGCGTTGCTGTTGGCGGTCTGTTCGATCAAGCTAAGCTGGTGTGCGAAAGGCTGGTTTGGGACAGGCTCGAGTATCTGCGGGGGTGACATCATGCGACTAGAACTGGGATGGTAGTTTTCTTGGTGAGTCTCCTCCTGACGTGGTCTAGTAGGGAGTGGTGGAGGCGGCATCAGCTCTGCGGATGTCATGCGCTGCTTCGCTGCAGCCGAAAGAGGAGTCGCTAGTCCGGGGTTGTTGATGGGGACGGCCTTTGAGACATAAGGCGCAGCATCGGCTGGAGAGGAGATAGACTTGCGCTGGTTCTTGTTTGGCTTGTACTTCTTGGGCGACTTTGGACGACCGTTGCGGTAACCCTGTTCGTAAGCAAACTGTACGCCGTACATGTACCAAAGGAAAGGTACGCCGTTTCTATCGAGCACCGTCGCATCCGGCAGGTCGGCTATGTCGAGAGATTGACTGAGAGGTGTGTTCTCCGTGGTAGCGTCGATCGGACTGGTCGTGGTCGGAGGCTGAGGTACGAATTCCGTAGCAGTTGCGCGAAGGTCCGAGCCCATACTAGATTGCGATGAACGCCCGCTGTCTGCTTGATTACGATCACTGGGTACATACCGTTCACTCCTTCCTCTGGATGAAGACGCGTTCTCAACGTCATCGACTCGGTTCGTGGAGTCGGAAACAGCCTCGTGTTGTTGGGTGTTGAGGTTCAGGTTCCCTATGTCCAAATTGTGAGCCATCATGACGACGATCGTGGGTACGCTGATAGGACGTGTGAGCGTCGTACCATGAGCAAGACTTCTCGAAACACCCCATGGCACGTTCTTGGGTTGTACGGTGTTATGCGCTGCCTCTTGATCGAAGTTGGACATTTGAGCGTGCTCGTAGCTAGCATCACATCCCAGTGCGTCGTTTGGCTGGTCTGGGCTGGTGACATCGGCCGAAATAGCAGGGCCCTTGCCGCGAGTGGACTGGTTTTGGTCATCTTCAGAAGCAACATCAGCCATTCCACTATGCTTGTGTGACCCAGAACTTCGCGAAATGATCGGAGTCGAACCGGTGCTGTCGACGGTGCGGACATGGCGTAGAGGGGCCGGCGCGGGCGTCGCGGGTAGGGGGATCTGGATAGCATCTAATTGGGCTGCATCCATCTGCATAGCTAGCTGTAGCTCCTTGATCTTCTTCTGCAATGACTTGACAGATTCGACGTGCTTGATGGTGCGTACGGGGGGCGCGGTCTTGCTGCTGGTGCCGGCTCGGGGAATGCGAGACACTTGGGTGGGCGATTCCGGACTCAGCGGACCGCCGGCAACGCGGGAGTCCATGGACCCTTCATGATTGTCACGGCCAGGCGTAGGAATGACAAGCGAAAGCCTCGGTGTCAATGACTTTCGCTTTCCTTCAGCGTTCGTTCTCGCGGTGGCAGATCGCGGACTACCAGACTCGTGCTGCACCTGCTCATCATCGCTGTCAGCATAAAAGTCGACACTGGGGACGTCAAGGTCTTCAGGGTTCTCTGCAGCAGATTGGAAGCTATGCTCCGTGCTTGCAGGACTCCTTACTGGCGACCCTTGTGCAGTGTGAAACGAAGCCCTGCCAGTGGAAGTCGCAACGCTGCTAGATGCTCGCGAGTGTCCTGCAGAAATCGAGTCGGTATTGAGGTGTGTTGACTTTGTCGGCGACATGCGGAGGGAGAAGCTTGACTGGTGACGCGCGCTGCTGCGTAGAGGTGACCCGGTGGGGCTGTTCCATGGCCGCTTCGTTGGAGAGCCATGCAGTCTGCTGGGGCTAAGCGGAGACGTGGGCGATGCTATGGTGTTCTCGACAGTAGCTAGGGCTTCCTTTGTAAGAAACGTTGCGCTGTCCTTGCCATGAGCTCTACTGAGATCAACGGAGCTGCGTGTTCCACGGAGTGTCTTGACTTCATCTGGAGAGTCACTGTCCCATGCTGTCTTGGATGTACGCGCCTTTGCACGCTGCGCCGTTGCGAGGTTGGGGGCGGTACTCTTTGTAAGCCATTGAGTGGGTATGGATTTGCGGGGACTGCGTCCTGATGTGCCGATGGTATACGCGTCGTACTGCTGTTCGACTTGCTCCTGGTGTGCAGCGGCGTTGTCGATACCAGAAGATGACTCGGTAGGATCGTTGGATACTTCGCAGGCGTCAGAGTAAGCGCCATAAGACTCAAATCGAGCGACTAGCTCAGTAACCATACCATTATGAGTGACTTCCATATGCAACGAAGACTGCGGATCCAATGGGATATCAATGTTGACGTTGCTGTAACCAGGTGTATCCAATACAGGTCTAGCGTCATTGAGAGTGTTTGCCCGCCTTGTACGAGATCCGTCGGCAAGAGCAGAGCGCGGGATGAAAGCAGTCTGATGATGAACCTGTGCATCTCGCTCCTGGACGATGGCGTCCCAGGTCGGCGCGCGGCCAGCTTCAGACGGCGTGAGAGTGGACATGTTGTTGTTATGCTGTGACTGGTACTGCTGCTGAGTATGCGAATGCGACTGCGAATGCGATGAGCTACTGTTGTTGGCGGATGATGCTGGTCGAGGAGTAGATGAGCCAGACTGAGTGTCGGGGTTGCCGTCTGCACTGGGGTCGTCTGGCAAATGACTGACGCTGCGACTGTTAGCAAAGGGGATGACGGTACTCGAGAATGAAGTGCTTACGTTCTAGGCAAACCAAGTGTTATCGCGTTGCTGCAGTAGGATATTCTGGTGAACTCGGCGTGGTCACAGACCGCGACGTAAGAGTAATGATATAAACACATGATGCCGGGTAGCGGTTGTCAACCGCAACCAGCAGGAAGGGTCGACGTCGGTTATCCAAAAGATGTGTAGAGGGAAGGTGGAGGTGAGGTGGGAGAAGGAGCGGGGTTGAGCGTGGTGCGCGACTAGCAGGCGCGAGGTAAACAAACGGAGGTGACGGACGCGGAAGGAGCGCGCGATCGCAGGTGAAGGTGGACTTCAATCAGGAACGTGGAATCCGCCCTACCTCGAGCACATTGTAGTAGACTAGGCATATTGTTTGCCGCGTAATGCCACGCGCGCGGGATTAGATCAAGTGCATACTTTACGGTTTCCTGTCCATGTGAGACGTAGCAGTGAAAACAATGACGAGTTGGACAAGCGTATGAGTAGTCATGGGATATCAACGATGTCAAAGAGAGATCCAGCCCCGCAATCCTCGGCCCTCATGATTACCCTAACGAATAGATTGGGAGACAGTCTTGAGAGTCGTATTATAAGAAAAGGCTCTGCTTAGAACCTCTTCTTCTTCTTTGCTGTAGCCTGCTTCTTCGCTGCCTCCTCGTTCTTCCGCTTCAACTCTGCGCGCTTCCGCTCTGCCTTCTCCTCAGGTGTCTCTTCGTGAACCTCCTCGACGGGCGTCATCTCTTTTTTGATCCTCGGTGGGGACGATGGAGGCTCGGCAGTCGGCGATTGCGTTGCTCTGAAGCGCTGGGTGCTTGGCGAAGCTGTCATATCGCGTTGTGAAGCACCATCCTCGGCTTTCTTGCCCTTACCACCAATTCTGAACAGCTTTCGGGTCTTCTTTGGCGTTGTCGCTTGGCTGGGCTGAGAAGGAGGTACGGATTCCCTGGTCGGTAGGACCTCTGGTTCTGGCTCTACATCCGCGGGTTTTGGCGGCGATGGCGGAAGAGACTCGGTTGCTCTTTTCGACTTCCCGCCTATTCGGAAGCTACTGACCTTTGGCTTCTGCGCTGTGGGTGTAGGCACTTTTGGCGAGGAACGGGGTTCCGGCGTAGGCGTCCTTTTACGAGTTGGCTTCTGTGGGGTCCGGCTTAGACTCTGACTCTGACTCTTGGGAGGCGCATCCAGATCCTCATCGTCCTCAGTACTGTCGTCTTCCGTCTCATTGGCCTTGTCGAGGGGCGACGACGGTAATGGCGCAGGAGTCTGTGTTGGCCTTTTGCCGAGTTCGCGTGTCTGAAAGTCTTAGTTATTGGGCACTACAGCACTTCTCCACACCCTTACCTTGAAGTTCACATGAGTCTCAAACTCTTCTTCTGTCTCATCACCAGAATCCGTAGCTGTTTTTGCTGGCTTTGATGCCACAGGAGGCGTTTTGGCCTTGGTCTTGACTGGGGCTTTCGGCATGCTCAACTGGGTAGGTACCGCAGTCCACCATGTAGTCTCAAAATTACCTGACTTCAACTCCGAAGGTACCATCGGAGTGCTCTGTGCCAGTGCTTCCTGGAACAAGCCTAGCGTAGTCAGGTTTGTGTCTTTCAATTGCTCGGTATCCTGCCGCCATGCTTCCTCGTGGAAAGACCGTAGAGCGGGAACGTGCTTTTCCGCTTGTTCACGTTTGACTTTCTTTCGTCCCGCCCTCATTCCACCAGCGCTAGGGAAGGCGGCAGCCAAGTCCAAGCCATGAGAGTCGAACTGATCCACAAGTCGAGTGATTGCCTTGTCTTTGGCAGCAATTGTCGAGATGAGCCCGGCGATGCGTTCATTCTGGATGTGAGCGGAGACAAGGAGCGGAAGAATGAGCTCGTTCTTGAGGTCTGTAGACGTCCGTTTCTTCAAGTGGAATTTCCATGACAAGCGACCAAGAGGCTCCGGAAGGCCTATGCTGGTGTGTAAGGTGATGCCATCCGTATCGTTACGCGTGACACGACATATAGAAGCCTCCGCACTCAGCAGGGGCTTCTTCACATTTTCGAGAAGGATGGCAACCTGCGCCGCGTCGTGTTTGCTAACTTCGATTGGCGATTGTTCCAATGCAGCCCGCTTGACGATGTCATCCACGTCTAGCTCTTCGCTCCAGATGTTGCTGAGATCGGTAAGATGGACTGTGTACGAGTCCAGGTCGAAGGCGGGTTTGATGAGTAGCTGGGGAATCTGCTTGCCGTCGGGCTGCTCGGAGAGCTCCAGCACGCGCCAACACGACATGTCAATCTGGAGAGAATGAGGTGACGGATTGCATGTTTGCAGATGAGCGCAGACGCGTGACACACGCGACCTTTGTGGGGTTTGAGCTGACACGTGAAGCGTAGCTGAGGCGCAGGTGAAAGGCAACCGCGCCAAGACTGTTCCTAATCGGGAGTAGATCCCTGCACGCGCGGAAGGCAGCCGTACGTCACCAGCCTCGGCCAAAGATTTCGCGATCTGCGCCGGCCAGACCAAACCTCAACAACATATCTCCATACTACAAATTCGGCCTATTGTGAAAGATGTCATCACGTGAACCTCCATGGCGCAACGAGCGCAACGAGCGTAATCGCCTTCCCCAGCGCAGTGCGCCGTCATCGTCCATTCCAGCGAAGCGGTCAGCCGACTCACGAGCACACGACAACCTTGCGAAACGGTCGACAAACGCGGCAGAGGAGGCGTGGGTGGCAGACGAGGACCGCTTCGTGCTGCAGCAGGCCAAGAAAAAAGCGGCACTACGCGTCAAAGGCGGGCGCGCGAGACCCATCGACTGGCTGGCCGTCACGCTGCGCTTCATCGATCCCACGGAGAAGTCGATGCTGGACGAGGAGGTGGAAGATCACGAGCTAGACATAGTCGATCCGGAAGGTGTGCTGGAGGGGCTCAACAATGAAGATCTCGCAGAGCTGGAAAAGGAGATTGAGAACTACCTCGCGCTCGAGACGAGCAGGAGTAATCGCGACTACTGGAATGTAAGTAACACACCCCCTAGAGACAATGCGTCGCTAATCCCTCAGTCCCTCAAAGCAATCTGCAAAGACATCCGCCGCAAATCCAAATCCTCCAAGTCCGAAGCCCGCGGCACCAGCTCCGTGGCCGCCGACATCGATCAGCTGCTCTCCCCCAAGACGTTCGAACAGCTGGAGACGCTAGAGGTGCAGGTCAAGAAGAAGCTCGATTCGGACGAGCCAATCGACTACGACTACTGGGAACAGCTGCTGCGGAGTCTGCGCGTGTGGAAGGCCAAGGCGAAGCTGCGGCGCGTCTCGCAGGAGATTGTCCGGGAGCGACTGCAGACATTGCGCAAGCAACAGGCTGACGCAGCTGCATCTGTCCAGAACAGGATATACGCTATGCTCAACGGCACCGATGAGGCGAGCGAGGCGCAGCCAACGACTGTCGAATACGATGCAGCCTTCGATCCCCAACCCCTACTGAAGCTGCGCGCCGAAGACAAGGCGCTACCACAGACGGATGAGAAGGCTTTCCTGGAGAGTCTGGCCACCGAAAGGGGAAAGATCAAGAAGATTGGCTACGTGCCGTCACAGGCCAAATCCAGCGACCCAACCACCACCAGCAGTCAGCCCACGACGAGCCAGACGGTAACGACGAGCGCCTCACGATTTGCGCCTGTCGAGAAAGAAGATTACTCCAAGGCCACCATGGCGCTATACGAGAGGGAAGTCGCGCGAGGCGTGGAGGAAGGCGAGGAAATCTTTACCGCGGAGGAGGAAGTCACGACCGTCCGGCCCCAGTGGGCTGGCAGCTACAAGCCCAGGAAACCCCGCTACTTCAACCGTGTCCAGATGGGCTATGAATGGAACAAGTACAACCAAACGCACTACGATCACGACAATCCCCCACCAAAGGTCGTGCAGGGCTACAAATTCAACATCTTCTACCCCGACCTCATCGACAAATCAAAAGCACCCACCTACAAGATCGAACGGGAGAACGGCCGCAAAAAGGGCCAGTCCTTCGCGCCGGCCGGTGAAGACGACACGTGCCTCATTCGGTTCATTGCCGGCCCGCCCTATGAGGATATTGCCTTCCGCATCATCGACAAGGAATGGGATTACAGCGCCAAGAGAGAACGTGGGTTCAAGAGTAGCTTTGACAAGGTACGTCCGCTCTTTCCCTACTGGGAACCAACCATCTCCCTATGTACTAGCTACGTGGCTAACGCAATGCAGGGCATTTTGCAACTCCACTTCCAATTCAAGAAGGTATGTCAAGATCGCATGACCGGAACGGCATCACACTGGCATCACACTAACATCGTGGCAGATATACTATCGAAAGTAGCTAAGCCCCCTTTGGGTGACATGGACGCTTCACAGCCTACCCCGCTGTACCTGGCCCCTCTTACACCAAACGGCGCGATAGGATAAGAAATAGGGCGGACGTTGCACAGGACCCTCTCCATCGATAGGTGCTTCTTGAGTATCAAATCCAGGCTTCTCTCGTTGCGCCATCACCCGTGACCACCACATTGGCGGTGACGTTTCTACCGGCTCCTATATCCTCGCAACGTGCAGCATCTCCGTTTTCGGGTCCGCTGGCGGTGTACACTCCTCTTCGAGCGGTGACAGGGCCGTGACGAGGGCCTATCACGGATGACTATCGCTTGGGCAAGGACTACGAATCAGCTTCACCGGAAGAAAAATGGTAGAAGTCGTGTTACAGGCCTCTGTGGGGTCTGCTCCCAAACGGTTGCTCACCTACTGCCTCTTTGCAGGCGCAGCACATCATGTCACATCCTTGCGCCTGCAGAACATATGCCGTTAATGACCTTTTTGGGATAGAGTTTGCAGACGAGGAATACAGGTCCTTGAAGGAAGTCACCTATGTCAGGATGATTGTTATTAGTGTGGAAGATTAGCTTGGACGCGTATGCTGACAACTACAATGAACAACATCTTGCCTATTGCTCTCGGACAATTTCCAGGACATGCACAGAAGCCGGACAGGAACATCGAAGAGCGGGACACTGCCGTGCAGGCCGATGGACGTTTCGATGTTACAAGTGGGCCACCCCGTATGCGCTTTCGATGTTATGAGTGGACGTATGCGCCTTCCCGTATGCCGGTGTCAAGCAGGCAATCGTTGGCTGCAGTGGTGGTACAGAGAATCATTCACACTGGTTGATGGAGTAGTGCAATGAGGGTCTCTAGGCTGCGTCTCGGGCCGTGGGGCGGTGATGCTGTACCGGTACTTGTCGCTCCGTGACATCACGTCTGCAGCTGCGCCTGCGGCCAGGGTCCTCAGATCCGCCGTCCTTGCGATGAGATCTCATCCTTTGTTTGCCCATACAAGCGACGCTGCAGCGTCAAGCCTGCAGGTGTGCTGGCAGTAGGAACCCGCGCAAGAATCGCCTAGGTGACAATGACCAGGTTTCCAGGCAATCCCATTCGCCGGGGCATCGCGGAGCATGTTAACGTCTTGACTGCCGCTTCATTTGTGAGCATCGCCTTTTACTACTCTCATTTTCTGCCAGTCTTTTGGTTTCACACAACACGTTGGCGTATTCGTATCGATACGTTCCTTATCTCTACCGTCCAGACCCGTGGGAGGCCGACAACACAACAGCTATGCCACATGCGCAATCACCTCATCGGCCTTCCTCCGCAGACGTGGGTGCTGAATTCGACAACGTCCAGTCATCTCAAGACGCCTTTTGTGAACCCTTCCAGCCCTCCAAAGACGCTTTTTGTGCCCCGCTTCCCTTTCACACCCATAACCCGGTGTTGTCTCTTTCCCCCAGGCTGCCTATTGAGGTCCCGCTCACCGCACCTTCCGATCAGGGACCTGCACTTTCCAATAACGACACTACCCCGCACTCTGCCATGAGCCTCGACGATCAAGAGCCAATGCAGTGGACTGCCCCAACCAACTTCCTCCTCAGCTCCATGACCCAGAATGGCGCGGGCTACAATGCGTCTAACCCGTTTCCACCTGGTACCGGAGACTTCTACAACTACGCCGAGAACGGAATGTCCTACAACGACAACTTCGGTATCGCGTACCCGACTCAGTATTCAAACGCAAGCTGCCCCCGATCCTACACCGGCGTTGACCTCTCTGGCCTTCCTGCCGATATCAGTATGACCGATTCACATCCACCCACTGCATATCACATCGAACCGCCGAACCACCTTGACGCTATGGACTTGTCAGACCATGAGATCAGCGGCCAGCTCATGCAACTGAGCAACGACTTTGACCATCATCCTTATGGTGCGCATATGAAGGTCGAGGATTCCAACGGCTACCAGAGTCCGTACTCAGACCTGACCCGCGCATCCACTCCTCATGACGATCCGCCTCGACATCCCCACGACCTCTCGGGAGATGGCGTCATCGACAAAGAGCAGCCTTACGCGCAGCTGATCTACCAAGCCCTCCTCAACGCGCCCAACAATACAATGATACTCCGCGATATCTACGAGTGGTTCAAGGCCAACACCGACAAGGCTAGCGCCTCGGAGACAAAAGGCTGGCAGAACAGCATCCGACACAATCTGTCGATGAACGGGGTGAGTCATGTCTCCTCTTCCTTCACCGTTCTACGTCTCTTCTCTAGTACATACTAATCTGCCCAGGCCTTCGAGAAAGTCGACCAACCAGGCGAAGAGTCCCGCAAAGGCTTCATGTGGCGTCTAACCGACGAAGCCATCCGCGAAGGCGTCAAATCCACAACCCGCTACCGCAGCAAGCAGCCCAACAAGCGCGGCCACCGGACCCAGCAACCACAGCCCCAGCGACAAGCCTCTGGCGCTAAAGGCGGTCAAGCTGCACGTCGCTCCGCAAGGATGAAACGGAGTGGCAGAATGCACGATGGATACCGTAATGGCAACGATCAGTACATGTCCCGGTCTGTGCCCGCCGCTTTCGATCCGAATTATCGCAGCGTACCAGCCGACGCCTACCCTCCGAGCCCATACTACGGAAGCGACGTGGACTTTGGCTATCCGTCTTCGTCTTCTTCTCGAACCGACGACTTCACCCTCAATAACCCCAACGCCAACGTCCTTGGTCCACACCACCACGCCCATCTCGATCTCTTCTCTCCACCCACACGCTCCTACCCGGGCAGTCCCATATCGCAACACCACCACGATCTATCGCGCACCATGTCCGCACACTCCTTATCGCAACCTCTGTCACACGGTTTGCCTATTGGAGATACGGCGTATGTGCTTGAGCAGAGTCCAGAGGGGGGTTTGTTTTCTAATAGTCCTAGTCCGAGTGCGGATGAGCCGAGGACGCCGGTGGATCAGGGGGGTTGGCGTGAGGATGTTGGAATGGGAATGGGAATGGCCGGGTGTGTGTTTGAGGACGCGGGTGGGATGGGTTATCGCACTTACACTGGTTGAGAGGATGAGGCAAAGTGTTGCTTTGGGGATGGAATGAATGTTGGTAAATGTTCCTTTCCTCTGTATTGTATGATTGTATTCTGCTTTCGGCTGGGGCTGGGAGTTGCGGGTTGCATAGCCTCGTTTTGGGTAGCGTTACGATGTATATTGAGTGCATCACCTCAATCGTTGCATAGCGATGGCGGTCTATCGCCACTGGGAGCTTATCTCTCTTCGTAGCACAGCAATGCTTTCTTCTACTGGCTTTTCACTCCTTCTTACCAACGTGATTTCACACTAACTTCTCTCTCTTCCCGCGGTGTTCATTACATGTAGTCGATGGTTCAAGAGACGAGCTGTCGTCTCGTCAATTCTACAGACGTCTTAACAGGCTCAAGCGAATGACGCAGACCCTGGTTCGGCGGATGCAGATTTTACTTCCGCGGTACTGGTATGCAAGCCATGACTTCTAGTATCGGCCCTGTTATCGGAGTTCACATGGTATTTCCGGCCAGCTTACGCTTCGGGGTGCGACGAATAATAGTGATATCTCAACACGACGTGTCTAAGATGTCCGCTGAGGGTGATTAGAGATCGAAAGGACTGACTGTTTTCTGACGGTCGTGTTCCTCAATATTGGTCTTCTCAATGGCTTTTCGCATGTCATTGCATTGGCAGAGAAATCCAGCTGCTAAGCTTTCGGGACGGAACGAAGACAGTGGGCTTGGCTCTGGGTACTTCATAAGTAGCTCTTGCGTTCATCCAATTCTTTTTACGGGATAAACAAATAACTTTTGAAGACCTCAGGAGAAGATGGGGTTGGTATACAACAGGTAGGAAATTACCGGAGCCCGCCCGGATAAGTAATCGCGGTAAGCCCATCTCCCTGATGAAAAGCATCGCAACTCAGCCCAGCCCTTCCAAGCAGCCACCACTTGCTTAACCACGCCGGCCGTTCCGCGGCAAAATCTTCGCCCGCCACGTTCACTCAACTGCTCACCCCAGAAACGCAGCCGTTGACGCGTAGAAGCCGTAGACCGTCTTTTTGCGATTTGTCGTGGGGCGAGCACGCACCGGAAATCTGGGGTCGCAGAAACTCCACCAATGGCGCTGGCCAAGCGCCCAGGCGTGTGGGGAAAGCTTCGCTGATCTTGGCTTAGCGCCACAGCCATGACCCGTTTAGCCACGCGTGGCCGTGAGGGGACCCCAGGATGAAGGGGATGAAGGGGATGATCGAAGAGTTCCTCCGCGCCATCCAATTTTACGGGAGCGGGTATCTTGAAGTGGTTCCAGGGCCAAGGCCGCGGCTCGGACGGCTGGGGATGATGCGATGGGGGTATATTAGGTGGTCGGTGTCGCGATGTTTCTCGAGGTACGGACGTTGAACTCCAGCTTGTCAATTCAGATCATCGGCATATACGTCTGCCAACATGCGCATCACCGAACTTTTCACGTGTGCGTTGCTGCAAGCATCAGCAGTACTATCGACACCCCTCGATGAGCGAAGCGTCAAGGTTGTCGCGTCGAAGAGGCCGCACCACCCGGCGTATCCTTATCACCCGAAGAAAGCATGCCCGGCATCGCCGCCACGAACCAAGACCTGCAGCGTCAAGGCTCTCGGTGGTGGTAAGGATGACTCCGCAAACATCCTGAAGGCGATCAAGCAGTGTAACAACGGCGGTCATGTCGTTTTCCCGAAAGACCAGAAGTTCACCATTGGAACCGCGCTGGATCTCACATTCCTCAACAGCATCGATTTGGGTATGTAACCCCCAAAACTCTATTATTCTCCATTACTAATTATCGCAAAGACATCCAAGGTTCCATCCAATTCACAAACGACACCGACTACTGGCAAGCCAACTCCTTCAAGCAAATCTACCAAAATGCCACCACCTTTTTCCAGCTCGGCGGCAAGGACGTCAACGTCTACGGCGGCGGCACCCTAGACGGAAACGGCCAGGTTTGGTACGACCTCTACGCCGAGGACATCTACATCCTGCGGCCCATCCTTTTCGGTGTCATCGGCGCGGAAGGCGCGACTATCTCCGATTTGAAGTTCAGATACAGCCCGCAATGGTACACGTTCGTTGCCAACTCCACCGACGTAGTCTTCGACAACATCGACATCTTTGGCGGTAGCAAGAGCAAGAACCCCGCTAAGAACACGGATGGCTGGGACACGTACCGGTCCGATAACATTGTGATTCAGAATTCGCATATCGACAATGGTGACGATTGTGTTTCCTTCAAGCCTAACAGCACCAACATCGTTGTTCAGAACCTGGTCTGCAACGGTAGCCACGGTATTAGTGTTGGTTCTCTGGGCCAGTACCCCGGCGAAATCGATATCGTCGAGAACATCTACGTGTACAACATCAGCATGTCGAATGCTTCCGACGGTGCGCGTATCAAAGTCTGGCCTGGTGCTTCTTCCGCTCTTTCTGGCGACTTGCAGGGTGGAGGTGGCGGTGGCGCTGTCAAGAACATTACGTACGACGGCATGACTATTTCTAACGTTGACTACGCGATTGAGATTACTCAATGTTACGGTCAGAAGAACTTGACTCTTTGCAACCAGGTAAGCTTCCTTACTTCCAACCGACCAATCCATTCCGAAAACTAACGCGATTGCAGTTCCCCTCCAACCTCACCATCTCCGACATCACGGTCAAGAACTTCCACGGCACGACCAGCAAGAAGTACGATCCGCTTGTGGGTTACCTGGTCTGCTCCAGCCCGGCGGTTTGCTCCAACATCAACATCGAGAATGTTAATGTTACGAGCCCGAGTGGAACGAACCAGTATACTTGCTTGAACATTGACGGAATTGAGAGTCAGGTTAACTGCACTACCAATGGGGGTCAGGGCGGAGAGTCAGGAGGGAATTGAGGATACTTGAATAGTTATTGAAATACAACGTTCACTGTTCAAACTTTTCCGTTTCTTTTGCTGTTCCGTCGTGATGACATGGTGCACGCTGCAGATGTTGGAATCGTACCGGAAGCGCTTTTGGTAAGCGACAATAGTCTGGTACAGGCCCAAGGTACCACCGAATGGACCTCCGGACATGTCATTTCCCAGCAAAACTACTGGTCTGGGCTTGCTGAATATACATGGGCGTCATTGGAGTACCCAGGCATTTAGGCATCGATGGGCTTGGTCCTAGCAATCAACATGCTCGGTATGGGGGTTAACTACCATTACTTTGAGCTCTGAGTGAAATAGTCGAAGGTTCTCTGGCCCCCAGTGGCGAGCGTAGTTCGACCATCATAGTCAGAGCTTTCGAGTAGGAGCGTAATGCGTGATGCACAGACTTGGCGTGATTACACTGCACCCCTATATATGACCGCACGCTTCCGAGCCCTGGTCAAAATCTCAACGAACCAGTCAACCAACCCGAAAACGTCTACACGTTAGCAAAACACCCAAGACATGTCTACTTCTCCAAGTAACGTGCTACCCGAGGGTATCGACCGCAAGAAGAAGAGTGCATGGGCTAGAAGGCGGGCGCGAAAAGCTCGAAAAGTTGCCCAAGCAGGGACGAATGAGCCGCAGCAGATTGCCGAGACCATGCACAAGGGTTCCGGGCAGGCGGAAGCGGTGCAGGAGGAGATCAAGAAAGAAGAAGCTCGAGTGAAGCGCGAGCAGGGGGCGCAAGTAGCGCGCGCTGAGAAGATGAGAAAGAAGGAGGACGCGAAAGTGAAGCGAGAACAAGAGGCGCAAGCAGCGCACGCTGAGAAGATGAAGACGCTGACCGCTAGGGGTGCGTTTCTCGTTCACTCGTATGACGACCTCCGTCCATACAATGGATATCCTCACATCTACGGTGAACGTATGTTCCAGAAGCCTGTGGTAAGTACCCTATGGATCTGGACACATGATGCTATACTCACAAGTCTGTAGAACAAGCCTCAAAACGTTGGCTTCCTCGATATGCCTCTCGAAATCCGTCTGATGATCTACGGGCATGCCCTTGAATTCGACGAGCCGATCGAGCTGTGGCCAGAGACCGGAGACATGGATACCGAGTATTACCGAAGAGTACGCAACAGGTCTAGACTTCGAAAGATGTTCGGCAGACGCGGCCCACGCAACCTCGGCTTGCTACGTACGTCCAAGCAAGTATGCGCTGAAGCCACCGAGGTCTTTTACGGCAACAATGAGTTCCGCTTCTCGGGTCTCAACGGCCACATGGTAGCGTATGCGTTCGCGACGAAGATTGGGTCGAGGAATCTGGGATTCATGAAATTCATGACCATGGCTATCCCTTGCCGCTCGGGAGACCGCGGTTGCATGGCCTCACACTGGAACCCACACACCTGGCTTCGCACACACGAGGTATACGACCTCATGCCTTTCTCATATCCGTGGACCAAAGGGAAACTCCGTAAGCGCTTCCCGCGACTAGACTTCGAAGACTCGTGGCGTAGTCTGGCTTGGATGCTGGCGGGCGCTTACAGACTCAACAAGATCACATTCGTCCTGCCCCATTATATCCGGTTCCGCCTCGAGGCGCGGGGTCTGCAGCGCCATATGAGGTGTTGCGACCGACAACTTTTCAGTGCAATGGATGATATCGTAGCGGCAAAGCCATTTCTCCAGGTTGCAATCGTACGCATGTTCAAGGATCCGAATGAGGACGCCTCCTGTGACAGCAGTCAGCGCTGCCTCATCAAAGAACTGAAGTCGGTTGTGTTCTGCAACGTTCGTCTGGCTAGATTCTGTAAGAACCAGAATTGGGAACTTGACCCCCAGCCATACGTTGACAGGGATGGCGAATTTGTCGAGGACCAGGCACTGGATGCGAGCGAGAATCCATTGGACATGCTTCCCGATATCGAGCGTTTGTTCGTGAGGGCGGCAGCTGAGTAGACGAGATATGGCTTAAGGGTTCGTTTCCGTGTGCGCAGCGATAGCCAGCGAGATGCTTTCCGGAGACGCGACTTCAGTATGCGGCTAGAAGTTTGGAGAGCTGTATTGACGTCGTTAGCGTGAAGAACCGATTATAGGAGGGCAATAAAGATACCACAGTTGTACGCTCGCCTTTGAAGTGTGGAAAGTAAAATGCCTTCGCGCGATGCTACGAGTGAGCGCTGAGTTGTTGTGTTGTTGGTATCGTGGGAAAGGCAGAAGGCGCGACTTCGACTAGTGACACGATGACGTAACGCGTCATTACTTGTCTGCTGTGCTGTGATTGGTTGTCGCGTACACTCCCTCTCCGCGCGCAGCCTACGAGCATTCTATGTCGCAATGCAGGTCCACAACGACATTGCTGCTTGCCTAATTGCCTAGTCTCTAGGAGCAGCAGAACCGCGATCATTGTTCATACGTGTCACCCGCGTATGCAACGCGCCTCCACAACCTATGACAGTGCCTGCAATTGTGTCTTCGTCGTGTAGACCAATAACAATATGTAGTGCGACCATGCAGAAGCTCGCCATCGCATTCATAGACAGCACCTTACATCTGCAAACGTATCCGATAACTTCCGTGCCTCGGCTCGGTCTTGTTCGTTCATTTCAAAAACTAAGACTCTTACTTTTTTATGAATTGGTTGCTATATCGTTTGCGCTATCGAGCTAGACACATCCATACATCCTATGATGCTTGCAGTTTGGCTGATGAAGAGGTTACGAACTCAAACGATTTCGTGTGCGGCAAGTTCCTTCCCATGATCAGAGGATCAGTTGCTGGGAAAAACAGAAATGAAGAACAAGCACGATAAAACCATGTGATAGACCGAGGAGCGGGAAAGTGGGTTTCAGAGGAACGGAAGTCTTCACTAAACCTTCACCGTATCCCAATTCGTCCTTGGTGCGATGGAAAGAAACCCCTTGACACGAGAGCTTCAAAAACGCAGTGGAGAGCTCGAATCCGCATCCGAAAAGCTAGAACGCATTAGCGAATTATCCCGATAATATCGTCAGATCATACCTATATCCCCACCTATGTGACTTCCTAAGGAACTCCAACAACGAGCCCTTAACGCAAGGACCGAGATGACTGTTGACCAGCCAATTCCAGTCATTCATGAGTTTGTAATCAACCCACCCAGTCACCTTATAACTGTTGTCCAGGTATGAATTAACCAGAGTGTCCAACCCGAGCTCATTTTGCCATGACGCTTCTTTCGCTTGACCATATCCATTTGTCCAGATAGTAGGGCACGGAAGATCGGCACGGTTGGGATAGGTCTTCAGAAAATCGTATATGAAGAGAAGAACGCCAGCTCTTAGTTGGTCTAGGGACAACGTGAAGCAGTGGTTTGGTGTCTCAGAATCGAGCGGATGGCGTACCTCGATCTCTAGATGGACTTTGCGGTTGACCGAATCCATCGCAGATAAAAGTAGCAGTGCATCGAACCGAACATCTCCAAGAGTAGAGTGCTTCGGTAGGTCGAAATACAGATGAAAGTAGCGCGGGCGACCCCGTAGTCGGACGGCTGTGAATCTCTCCAGCTCGGTCGCAAAGTTGTATTTCGGCGTCGAAGTTGCTGAGTTGAAGGTTGAATTGACATCGCAAATTTCTGAGATGGCTTCGTGACGTAACCAATGATTCAGCCCAGCTAGGCTTCTAAGGTTGCTGTTCGTAGTCTGGTGCGCCAAGTCGAAGGTCAGTTCAACTCCTGGGGGCTGGAACATATCGAAAAGCCTCTTCCTAACGGAGTATATACTCATGAGGTCGCAAAACCCTGTGTTCCTGTTCGGCGGGATCACACGCAGCTTACCTTCATCGCTGATTGACATGCGGCCTTTCGTCATCCAGTTACCACCACCAGAGTCATTATGGCGGTATGAAACGTATACTTTCGATTCATCTGTATCGAGTCCGACCCTCAACAGCATTTTAGAAATCCAATACTTCTTAAGAAGGTTGGAGGGATCAGCGGTGAGCGTACTCAAGCTTTTGTTGATCTCAGCCATGTGGCTGGCGGACCATTCCCGATTGCTTTGGAAGTATGATATACTACTGTGCACCTCGTGTGGTGCCACAAATAGAACGTTCATTTCTTTGTGTTCCAGCTTCCAGGTATACTCCAGTATTGGTAGGACTTCTAAGGTTTCGTCGGCGTCAAGCAAGTTGTTGACATCAAGCTGGATGACGCGAAGAGCAGACGACTGTTTGCCGATCATGCGAAGCCAGCCCATAGCCCAAATAATGCCACTACGCTCGTCCGCATCTTCGGGGAGCCTTAAACGGAACACGTTTCGTGCGTACAAGACACCAGTGGCCTCATACTGGATTTGACAACATGACTGGAGGAGCGCAGTTCCGGAGATAATACTGTCGGAGCGGTAGCCGGAGTGGTAGCCGAGTCGATTGATGTTCTTCGCATGGATCTGAATAGGATATTCGTGAATGAAGAGTGCCTCGTAGATGGCGTTGCGAACTTCTCCGGGCAGATTCAACAATGAAGGCGCATTCGGGTCGATTGAGTGCGATACTGGCGGCGGAACGTTATCCGTTGCAGTCGCCGCTTCCGTGTCTTTTTGCGTGTTCGCGATCTTGGTGACAGCCATGTCGCTTTGATTTACGTCACTGACGGTAGCGGGAGTCGCGCCACCGGCTGTGGTACCGGGTGTCGCACTCATGTCGCTCGCTATCACGCTGCGAGAGTGGTCTCAGTCGGTGTGGCGCTGGCGATCAGTATCTTGAAATGGTTGTGTGAGAGGAGAAAGAAGGGTAATCGCCGCTAGTGGGAAAAGCTTGCAGAGTCGAGGATTCTGAGGTGAGAGAGGGCGACTGCCAAGACTGCGGCCGTTTGCTGCACCAAATGGAAAGAGCTACGTCATGGACAGCGATAACCTCAAACTTCGTATGACGCGGTTCGTAATGACGTAAGGAGAGATCTGTGACGGTGTATCAAAATGGGCCATAGCAATGCTTGGTGGATAGACATCGTGTGTATAGGCCAATGTAATAATATTTCCCCATTTGGGAGAATGACTAAACGCGTATCAGACTACAAAAAAAGGTAGCCCGGAAGTCTACGTTAACTCTAGATGTTTCAGTTGTACTCCATTGCAATCTTGTAGTCGGCAAAGTAACAAAATCTCTGAAACACCTACGGCGGCATGCTCGCCATGAAGCCCAGCAGCGAGTCCAGTGGAGCCTCTTGATGAAACAAGTTGCTGCAAATATAATCTGAACACACATACCAGCGTTGTTCAGTAACTGAAGAGCTGACGCCTACGTCCTTATTGACGATTGGTTCGATAGGAGGCTTGCTCGAATCCCACTCAGCTTCCCGTGCCTCGCCCCTACCACTCATCCAAATCTTAGGTCGGTGAGCCAGGCCATGCTCTGGACTTTTCTTAAAGATCTGGTACATGAAGAGAAGGGTACTTTGCCGTATATTTGTAAGAGACATGGTGTAGCTGTTCGCAGGGGCGGGGCCGGATTTGTTGTAAATCTCAACGATCACGAGTGTCGTTACGTTAATACCACGCGTCGCATGCAAAAGAGCGGAGGCGTCGAACCGTACATCGTCCAGGGATACATCATCTTCCAGAAAGTAGCGGATGAAAATGCGCGCGGGGCTCCCCAGCTCCCATTCGCCCAGAAAATTCAATTCGGCCGTGAAACCTGCCCTAGTAACTGGGCTTGTTAGTGCGACACTGGAGTCCATTTCTAGGAAGCCGCCATGCTCTAAAGCAGTCAACCAAGCGATGGTCAATGCGATGTAGGGCACGTCCACGTTTGCTGTTCGATTAGTAAGGTCGAAAATAATGCCCTCGTCTGGGGACAATGCCATGGCCAAAATGGAGTCTCGAATCGCAGAAGGTCGCATGATGCTTCTGACATCCACAACCCTTGTGGGAGTAGTCAATATACTTTGTGCTCCGTCATCGACAATATGGATGATATCCCCAGATAATGGACAGCCTGGATCGTAGCGAGTCCGACAGTAACTAACGTGAGCAACTTTGCCGTCAAAGTTTAGCCAGACGTGTCGTAGCACTGGAGGTACAGCACGAAATCTTTTGATGCATTCCGACGAATCATCAATGATAGCCCTCAGTTGCCTGTTGCATGAGGCTGCATTCGTCTCGCCTGTTCTGGCGATCTCGTCGCTTGGGTGCTTGAGAGCCACAGGCAACCCTGAGAGAAGTTCAACTTCCAAAGCAGTGAGATTGGGCATCCAGACATGACGCAGTATGGGTAATATGTCAATGGGATCGCGCATGGGATCGTAAAATGTGTTGTACATGTATATTTGGAGGTGTCGGACGTACGAAGACTGTCTACCGATGTCATCGAGCCAGCCTATCGCCCAATGGATTGGATCAGCAGTACGCGGATCGTCTTTCACACAGAATATATTCCGACTGTAGAGAATACCGGTAACTTCCTCGTGGATTTGACGGCATGTTCGAAGTAGCGCGATGCCACGTACGTCTCGCGACTGGTAACATGAGGAGTCGCCGTACGCATACCGATCGCGGGAGATTGTAATGGGGTGGCCTAACTCGAACAAAGCCTCGAAGATAGCATTGCGGACTTCGCCTGGTATTGTTGTCAAGAGAGACGGTGCCTCTGGGTTGATGGGGTGTGACTGTATCGACATGGTTTGGCCAGGTATCGCGGAAACGGAATCGTCGTTTGTCTCGCTCATGTCTTCGACTACGTAAAATTCTGGTAGTTGTTGGCGATATGAAGGAGAAGTAGCTCTGACAGAGATCTAGTGGAGGAGAGTCGAAGTCTGGGACGCGCCCCAATATATACGGCAGCGGATACGACAACATCCGTGCGCGCAGTGAAGTCGGAAGAGCCTACGTGATGAGAATTCAAAGCGCAATCCATAGTGACAACATGCGCTTTACGTGTGAAGAGACTGCGTTGGTAAACTAAACAAATGCGGGCACCAAACATCTGGGCCGCTTGTGTAGATTTGTCATTGAGTCCCGCCGTTACGTCAACCTAGGGAAAAGGTGAACACCCTGGGGTCTACATCGATGTCAACACACCCACTTCGCATGAACTCATCTTAATGTAGTCTGCAGACGTGTTCAGGATTTCCCTTGTATGATGTGCCGTGTTGTTGGTATCAAGAAGGAGGCGAGTTCTGCGAGGACTGATCGGCATCGCTCTTGATTGGAAAGGCGTAACGGACTCCCTGATACTCATACCACCACTCAACTGGTGATTCTGGAGGGTCGAACCCGATCGTGTGTAGGATGAGGTAATGGCGGGTTGAGGACTGATTGAATTGTCCAGATTCGAAGCGCATGCGCACATCTGCGAGTAGTTTCCGTATCGCCGACAAATGTCCGTGGGAAAGACACATATTCTCTCCCAAGGCGTCAGCACACCTGAGAGCTGTTTGCAATCCTCGAGCTTCGTTTTCTGCCAACATAATTCGAATGGCATCAAGATAAACCTGCTCGTTTGACTTCTGATAATTGACTTCAGGGGTGCTCCATAAGGACGATTCTACGATGCCAAGTAACCCGTAGACCTGATCGCGGCTGTCCCCGCATCTCAATCTTGACATATGAGCGAGGACGTTCACTAGGCTCATCTCACCCTCACTCGACAACAAGTTCATCCTCGACAAGAACAAACTGTGTGCATTCCAACACTCAGCAGGACCATATCTGGGCCATTGTAGGACCTTTGAATGAGTTTCCATGGTCTCCAGATCAACCCATACATCGCCACACATGAAGTGTATATCTTTGGCGAGAAGAAACTCTTGAACAATCCAAAGACGAGAAAAGTACTGATTGGAGAGTACGATGGCCATGGATGCGCTTATTTTATGGTAGTCCAGTTTAGGCATTCGGTCGTAGTAGTGCTCCCAGTAGTCGAGTACATCCAAGTTGTCTATGTTCATTTCGTAGTCGAGTATAGCCATTTCGTGGTCGAGTGTATCATTTGCCAAGTCTCGGAATGCATCATAACATGACAAATCAAGCCAGCTAATTACGGACCCGGCATTGCGATAAACATCTCCCATCATTTCGACTTGATGTCCACGCTCGCTCGTATCACTCTGATTGATGCAGAGTTGATCGATCCATAGATGATGACTTCGTCGACCAGTTCCGCTAGCACCAAATGCGTTCAAGAAATCGAAGAGGTTTTCTCGAATGGTATAGCATCTACCATTGAGCCGAATAGTGTGTAGCGGGATGGGCTCGCCCCAGGTGTACGATAATGCAATATAGCTCGGAGCCTTATCTACCTCGAAAATCTTGATAGTGCATAGTATCTCGCCGCTCTCGTTTGGCGGGTAAGGGTAAGACGCGCGTCTGGCACCATGCCATACAGTGACAAGGCGGATATGTGGTTGGTCCGTAGCGAGAGCTTCGTATACGTAGGCGTCGCCGCCGATTTCGGCACGCGCAGGCGCAGTCATGGTCGTGTAAGGTTCGTTTGCGGTGTGTGACACTTGTTCGTAGTCTGCAACTAGATCTGTACCAGGTCCTTCCTGCATCGTGCTTCAAGAGGCGGGAGGCTGTTTGGGGCGATCAGGGAAGGTTTGTGGGCTGCGGAGAAGTTGCGAGACGAATGCTGTTGTAGGCAGGTTGATAGCGAGGCTGAGTTCTCCTAGCCCACCTGGCCTGGCGCGGCTGAGCGCCACACCCCATGCCCACAACATTGTTACAGCGGCTACAAAGGGTAAGAGCGAATTAAACAAGCAACTTTGAGTATGCGAATCAAGGATTGAAGAATGATACATGAATATACATAAAGTGACGCGACATATGCAGCGCATAGCATGACAGCGCGAATGCTACAGGGCAGACTCATTTCATTGAGCTCCAAGCCCCATCTTCTGCAACACGCTGGCCAAGTCAACCTCCACAATCTTGTCCCAGCCCCTCTCAGGGCCCCAGGCAACGCGCTTCTGATTGAGCTTGGTCTCTTCTACCAGGCCCTTCAGCAGCGGGCTGTCTTTGGACACGCTTGGATATGCGTCAAACTCGACGTCATCAATCGACGGCACCTGCGCGAGCAAGCCTCTCAGCAGCCCGACGCAGTACTCGGTATAGAAGTTGTTCCCCACGCGCCAGCCCTCAAAGACCTCGTTCGATGCCGGGTCAATCTCTACAAAGATTTTCAATTTGTACACCTTCTTCACCGCTGCCAGACCCAGCCGGCTATCCACGACCCAGCATTTCGGCGGTTTCGTGAAGCCTGGCCCGAGTCGTAGCTCTAAGCGCGTAAGAAGCGCGCGGTATTTACGAGGGAACCATGCAAGTAGCGGGTGCTTGCGGTTTATGTAGCGGCCGTGGATGGGGAACACGCGGAAGGTATTGCGACCGTAGAAGACGCGCGACGCTTCGTTGTGCATGCGATGGTCGACGAGGAAGAGGCGGAGGGCGGGGGCGACGGTGCGGTAGTTCGTAGGGTCGAGGTCGATGGTCTTGGGGAAGACTAAGAGCTCTTCGTAGATGCGCAGTCGCAGCTCGGATGGCAGATCGAAGAAGCGGAAGGGCTGGCGCCTCGCAGCTTTCTTCTCATCTTCCTGCGCATCGTCTTGAGCATCGGGCGGCGGGGCAGCGCGCTCGTCCACCAGCCGCACTTTGCTCATGCGATTGACCATGTGGTCAATCGCCTTGGTCTTACGGGCCATCTTATTGTA